TTTTTTTTTTTTTTACCTAGGTTTTGATGTATCAAAATGGTCTAATATATATTCAAGTGTATCATTGTTGTTTGCATGTCTCTCAATAGTAAAAAGATAACTTTCAATAAGTATAATTTTTGAAATATGATCTTCCGGATGAATAAACGATCGGAATTTATTTATTAGAACTAACAAGTTCCTGATATTATAAGGATTGTCAGAGCATGCCAAGAATTTTAAAATTTTAACATCAGCTGTTTGTTCACAGAGCTCATACATCTCCATCCAAGTGACGTCTGTGGCCAAACCTCTACAGTGCGTCCATTCGTCCCACTGTGGGACAAGTCTATTAAATAAAAAATATATTTGAAATTATAATTAAAAATATAATTAAAAAAGTATGATTAAAAATAGAATTAAAATATAATTAAACTTAAAATAAAATTTTGTTAAAAAATCTTAGCACATAGTCTTACGTATTTTGATAGAAGAGTTTATTTTAAACGCGTTATATGTATATCATAAGAAACTGATTATAGAATATATAAGGAAAACTATACCTATAGTGAAAGACAGGATGATGATGAAAAAAATCTTTCGTTCTCTTGCTGGCATCTTTTTTGTATAACGGATCATTGAAAAAATACGCCCATTTTGCAGCCTCTTCTTTTAAACATATTCCAAGATCGTCTTTCGGAACATTTTTGGTGGTTTTTAGATACAATTCCTTTAATATTTTTTGCATTTTTGTCTAAAATAATTAAATGATATATATTTTATATTTGTTTGTGTGTACGCTGAAAAAATTAAAATTTTTTTGTCACTTGTTTATTAATTATCAATATGTGTATTCTCTGCGTGTTTTACCCCAAAATCTACAATAATTATTTAATAATCTTTTTGTTAGACGGGTTATAAACTTTACACAATCGTACCATAATTGAGAATGTATTCCGTCTATCCGTAACAATTTTCAAAGTTTTGAATTGTCAAAATTGAATAATAACATATTTGAACAATACTTTACCAAGGAAACCTGCATGCACGAATTTTCTACTTGATAATTTAATACAAATTATTAAAGTCATATAATTTTTGTATAAAGCTAAATTTTAGTCTTTGCTATATGTTTGCGAGTTTTTAAATAGAAAAGTTTATGATAAAGAAATATATCCGTATAATATTGCTCTATGAATATGACATAATGTAGATTTTTAATAAATAATACATTTTATATTTACAATTAGTAAAGTATTATACTAATATGGTAAACAATATATGCAGAAAAAAGAGAAAAAAAAGAAATATTTGTACACACATACAAATATTGTATATCTATAATTTTGTACATATTTATAACTTGCTTGTAAATAATATCTTTATTGACTACAAAATTAATTAATAAAATAGAAATAAATTAATAGCTTTATTAGAAATTAATTAATAATTACCTTGATAATATCAACTTTTTTATCAGACAGTGGAATAACACTCGACATGTATTCCAGAGCTTTAAACATAGGATACCATGCCACATAATCTGTTTCTCGCGATAGATAATTCGTGAGATTCCAGAATATGGAAGTATCAAGTTGGCGTGTTATCATTAAATGAAACGCGTCATCGATAATTTGGGCACGACTAAGAGCATGTATTTTTGTATAGTTTTCAGAGTCTAGGTAATCCGAAATTTTTTGCCAATTCTTAGCATCGTAGTTGACCCTATAATATCCTGATAAACAACAATAAATTTTATAATTAGTTCCTCTTTATTGGATTTGTTAAAAATATTATATCTAAATATGTTTCTTTTTTAAAGACCATTAAAGATGTACTAAACATTATTATTAAAATTTTATATTAATAATTAATACAAAATTTTTTTTTTAAATTGATTTTTTAATAATTTGTTTTTAATAATTGATTCCTTACGAAGAATTAAACTGCACAAAAAATTTTGGGTAAAATTAAATTGTTCCATTACATAAATTAATTATATTATTTATACTATAAATAATCTCTATATTATATTTTTATATATATTAAACAAGAAAGTAAAATTTATACGATGTTATTATGTTTGACTTCAAAATTTTGTATAACAAAAAATAAATGTTTTAAATTTAAAAAAGATGCGATTGTGAAATAATCTTATTCTTAATGAATTATTTATTTTAATGCATTGTATTGTTATTAAATATTATATACAAAATAATATTTATCTATTAAATTTTTCTTAAATAATAATTTAGCGAAGACATATTATATACTGTATTTTACTATATATCTTTACACCTGTCCAATATATAAATATCTTGAATTATTATAAAATAATAAAAGCAAAACTGTAAAATATTTTAAAACTCAGATACATAAAATAAACAAAAAATTTAATTTATATTAAAATCTATATTCATTAATATTTACCAGTTTGTTTTATATTGAATATTATCCACTCATCATCTTTAACTTCTTCATATATAAAATTTGGAATATCCAAAATACGCAACCGTGTTCCCAAATGTGACATATTTAACCACATCTTAGGCATGGTATTTTTAAAACTTGGATATGCTTGCGTAGTATAAGTTAGAGGTATGCTCCAATTTTTTGATGTATAAAGAACTTTTAATGTTATATTTTTAAAACCACCAGGATTTCGTATCACCCTCAATACGGGATAATGCTTTTGCTTGAACCAAGAATCCATATGTTTTGTTATATTAACTTCTTCAAAATGAAAGTATGGTATTTCATCGAAAGCAGTTTGTATAGCTGTCCAGAAATCGTAAGTAGTAGTCCACTTATATGCACTGAAATTGTAAATTTAAAAAATATGAATTTAAAAAAATAGTACACAGTAATAATAAATTTGTGAAATTTAATGTTAGACAATGCGGTGAAAAAAGCAATAAAATTTTTGAAAAGAAGAAAAATTTAATAAAATTTCTTTAAGAAAAGAATAGAACTGTCGGTCCAAGAAAAGAGAACATGGGAGTGAAATTAAAATATTAAAAAATGAAGAA